CTGCTGGTCTATCAAGAGAGGTCAGATGAATAGTAATAAAAAGAATTACAGAACACCTCTTTCAATGCAGTCCAGACATTTAACCGGTTCAGTCATCTTGTGGAATCTCAAACATGGTAACAGGAACACTTGAGACACAGGGCAGGGTGACAGAAGTATTTTGGGTTTTTTGCACATTCACTTTAAGATTATTACCAATATTAGCACAAAACAAATGAGCATTCTTACCTTCCATTGCTATTTTAGCTGTTCATTTACATCACTGTTTGCCAACTTACCAACACACCATAATATTATAAACAAAACAATCACTCACCTACAAATCCTTTCTCTCCAACTAATTTAAGGGCAATTTTATCTGCCAGAACAGAAGAATTTCCATGTGCGATGTTAGCAAAAGGTCCAGCGTGAACAAATACTGGTGTTCCCTGAGTGATAAAAAATACATATCATTAATTTAATGAATATATGTTGTGGTTTAACCCCAGCTGCTCGCTCACTCCTCTCCAGTGGGATGGGGGAGAGAACTGGGAGAGTAGAAGTGAGAAAACTCATGGGTTGAGGTAAAGACAGTTTAATAGGTAAAACAAAAGCTGCACACACATAAACGAAGCAGAACAAAGAATTCATTCACCACTTCCCGTCATCGGGCAGATGTTCAGCCATCCCCAGGACAGCAGGGCTCCATCAGGTGTAATGGTTACTTCAGAAGACAAACACCATCACTCCAAACATCGTCTCCCCTACTTCCCTTCCCTCCTCTTCCCCCAGCTTATGTGCTGAGCATGACACCATGTGGTGTGGGACACCCCTTTGGTCAGTTGGGGTCAACTGTCCTGGCTGTGTGTCCTCCAACTTCTTGTGCACCCCCAGCCTGCTCACTGGTGGGGTGGTGAGAGGGCAGAAAAGGCCTTGACTTCATGTAAGCACTGCTCAGCAATAATGAAAACATCACGGTTACCAACACTGTTTCCAGGACAAACCCAGAACCATATCCAAAGCCCCATACCAGCTACTATGAAGAAAATTAACTCTACCCCAGTCAAAATCAGCACAACAGGTAAGAACACAAGCTCAATACTCTTACAGACTAATCAAGATGATATATAAATCAAAGCACATAAAGCAAGTAAGTGCTGTTAGATAATTTAGGGATTCTAGGTATTTCTCAGGTCCTCGAGACCTCACTCACTGACAAGTCTAGATGTCAGAACCTGCTTTGTCTATATAAAGGTAACAGACATCAGTGCAACCTGTAGGTAATTTACACAGCTTCTCACCCAACCTTGTACTATGTTTCATATTTCCATTGCCCTAATGCTATGGCATGTTGTTCTGGCACATGTACACTACATGTACTAAGTGTATTGCTGCACAGTGCACAGGTAAGAGTCCAATTCCATCCCTTACTGTTCCCATTTTCCTCATTGACTGTAATCACCATTCTGTGCAGGCAAAGTAGCCAGCAGAAGCAGTGAGGGACCAGAGTCAATGGTTAAGGAGCTGGAGAGGGAGATGGCAAGGAACATGGTTGGGGTGCAGTGGGGATACTGACATACAATGGAAAAAGCAGTCACCACTGTTGGCGAGTGCCTGGGAGCCCAGGTGGAGAGCCCAATGCCCCTAGGTAGACATTATACAAATACACAAGGAAAACAGACTCTGGAGCAGGGACCAATCTAAACCAGCAAATGAATAGGAGTAAGCAAATCAACTAGGTATAGGGAAATTTGTCAGACGGTAAGCAATTCTCAGCTTCCCTATTACTTTTTTTGGCAGGCATCCCAAGGAAAGAAGAAATAAAATTAGGATCTGCAGGAAGGGATTAGGATTAGGCAAGATAATGTAACGGTTGTCTTTTCTCCAAGTCAGAATACACAATCAGACAGAAGGACATAATTTCAGCTCTTTTACTATAAAATACTTTGGCAAACAAATCCCTGTTGGGTTAATGCTTCTAAAAATGCCCAGCTGGTTAAAGTAAAGTTAAGCAGACAACTTCAGATTATCACCATCAGTGTTCTTCACACATTCTGTATTAGGAGCTACTGCCAAGCTACAGGGCAATCTTCCTCAATTTTGACCAGAAACACCAGTTAAGGAGGACCTTGTTCCACAGATCAGCTACAGGCCACATCCAACAGCCACATGAACCACAACATGGAAACTATTAACCACAGAGCTGGTCGTGTGTACCTTCGCCCCCCCCAGTGTCTTAAGAAAACAACCTGCGCAGATAAAAAATGCCCATATTTTCAATAAAACACCATAAAAATTGGATTACAGTTGTGAAATACTTCTTGTTATAGAAAACAGATTTTCCTGTTTCAGTAATGCTGAATACAAATCACATGCAGAACACCAACAAGAAACATCTTGTTGCTTCCTTTAGGAGTAATTATACGTAATTAATTGTTTTGTTCAGATAAATAACTTTTTAGCTACTGACACATTAAACTTCAGGTTTGTTTTAATAAACTGGGTGTTGTTTTGTTTTGTTTCAGGGTTTGTTTTGTTTTGTTTTTTTAAAAGTGGAAAAGGGAGAATATGCATATATATGGGTGGGGGATATTCTTCAAATCCTATGTATTAAGCTACAGCTCAAGACAACTCTGCCTCATATATGTTAGAGAAGAAACAGGAGCAGAAAAAGTAAACAAACCAAAAATCATGCTCGGTAACAAGAGGAATGATACAGATTGTTGTCATCATAACACACTGACTTTACAGTGTTTGCTTAGGGTTCATTTTTTTTCCTCTTTTCTGTCTGCTAATGTCCACACACTGCAATAGCAACTGGGATTTTACATAGTTATATACAAATGTAACTTGAACTATGGACATCTTCAAAGCTTCTTCTAATACTTGGGCATCAACCTCATGAGAGGTGCTATGCAAAATAAAAGATTACCCCTATTACACTTGCTTGTAACTTACACACACTAAAAAGTTTCGCTTCTACTTTAATCAAGTATTTACCCTTCTGGCACTCAAATAAATGACTGCCGCTTTCAGCTACCAGGTTCAAATCCAGTGGATACATTCTGATTTGTGTTTTATTACTTACTAAGTTTAATTTTACTTTCTAAGTCCTTAATTTCTTGTGGCAAACAATTACAAGGCTGCTCTCATTAGAGCCTGGCACACATACAGGCAGGCACAATGCATGGAAGCACAACCACAGCTGGTGAGAAAGCAGCCCAGCCCATACTGTGGCAGCTATGCAGAAAGGGGGCCAGAAGGGTCTCCCACAATGTTCCTGGTGCAATTGTGCTTCCAAGAGTTCATCCACACAGCAAGGATAGGAAGTAAACTTGGACTGTGGGATCCAACATCCAGAATATTGGTAAGCAAGAGGCCCCCTGCCACTAACTTGAAATCCAAACAAACTACTAAACCACTGGCATGGACAGATGCTCCCCTAGAGTTCTGAAATCAACCAGAAGAAAAGGAGTTGTTTGAATGTTGGGGTTTTTTACAAGAGCAATCCTACAATAAATACAGTCTAGGTACCGAAGGGACCGAACTCCAGCAGGATGTCCGGAGCCTCAAGCACACCTTGGAACAAGGACAACAATGTCTTCTCAGGCCAGCCTTAGTGACTGTGTGTCAGCCCATCCGTCCCACTCTGCAGAGTACCACTTATTTTCATTACACTCTTAATAAACTGTACGGAGAAACAAGCAGTGGCACAGGGATGCATTCTGCTGACTGTTTTCAGGACAGGAAATGTTATTATCCAAGTTTTAGTAAAAGAAAATAAACCTAGAATGTCAATGAATATCTGAAGTTATCTGGCCACTAGAAAGCTGTTTATAATACTTATTACCATCCTTCCCTCATCTTTACTGAGAGTGGCACTTTAAATGTAACATGAGCAGATTGTCTCAGAGCAGCCAGCCTGCAACTACAAAGAGCTGTCCCCTAGAGCAGCTCCTCTGTTATGCATGGTATAAATAAATGCTAAACATTAAGGGATCAGTTCACAAGGGAACAAATCTGTCATGACAAACATGGATAAACACTATGAAATCATTATGTATATTCCAAACAAAGTCATCTCAATTTTATGGCATTGGATATAAGTTCTACTGAAGCCTGCAGTTATTGAAGGTGGAGTGCACCATGTTTCCCATCTTGAGATTTTAGCATCACTCCTGCATATAAAGTACTGTCAACCACTTTACACCTTGAGGCAGCATTTCTGGTGACAGAGTAGCAGATTTGTGATGGAAATCAACCCACCAAGAAACTTCTTTGAAAGACAGCAAATTAAAACACATACATCAATTCACATATGAAAAAAAGCACTGTCACAAAATTGCCAGTTCATTTCCACATAGGACTGGCATTTGGTCATTTTTGATTTATGATCTTGTGAACCTCTTCTACAGTGCACACAGATGCCCATGTAAAGCTGGTGCAAATCTAATGAGTAGGTCATTGTTCTCCCATTTCACAAGCCCTTAAAAGCAAGTCCTCAGATCTCCACAGCTTAACACAGTTCCCAGGCTCTTGGCCTGATTACAGGGGACAGCAGCTATCTCTGCAATGGGTACTTTCAGCTGCTGCTACTCACAGACACTATTACTTACAAATTATGCCAAATTAACTGTCAGTATCAGCTGGAAGTTATCCAGAAGATCTCCTGCTCCACCTCCTTTGGCAGTCTTTTTGCCCCTCTCCAGTACCAAAGTGATCTGAAAGAACTGCTCCAATGAACAGTTTCATCCCTACTTGCAGGATGGGTCCAGGGTATAGTCTGAGCTGCTTCTGTTCTCTAAAATTGTATTATTCTGGTCTTCCACCATCTGTGTGCTGTAGGATCATTTCTAATATTACTGTTGTCAAGTCAGGATGATGCTGCTTTATGCTTGTATGAAGAACTTGTTCTCCCTGAAGGAGTTAGGATTAAGTTGCCCAGTCATCACTGGTAGCCTCTTTGGAAACCTACAAGATCCCTCTTCTTGTGGATGATACTTATTAGGATTATTCCAAGTGCAATTTAGGTTTCAGGTCTCCTCATTTCTAGTTTGTGAGAAGAAAGGCACTCATGAGAAATATGTCATTCCCTATGGCAGGTGAGATATTGTTATATCCACCACAGTGTACACTAGGATTAGTTTACCTTAAAATCTATCATGCTGAAGAATCTAAACTCACAGGTCAATCACTGTGCTACATTCAAATGTGCAGGGCAAAATATCTTCCTTGTTCCTCTCTGTTCCACTTTTTTTTAATTAAGCTAATAAAATTAGCACCTCTTAAAGATATTTACATGACTAATTAATAACAATGAAATTATTTATTCACAAAATGGGACATGACACAAACTTCAGGCTCAAGAACAGCAACAGCAGCATGGGTAGGCCATTGCATCTCTGCACAAGAGCAATGACACAGTCCAAGAGACATACATTAGCCAAAGCAAAGCACTATCTTGGAAAACGTTTAGATAAACTGGCGTTTTCTGTTCTTGGATAGGTGACTTAGCCTGCAAGCCAACAGGTACTCAAAGGGTGACAAAAGTTTGGTTTTGAGTCTCAAATGGCAGGAGTGGAGCATGAAGCAGTCTTCTGAGCTGTTTAATTTGCTTTTTTAAAAATAACTTCATAAGAATTTTTTGGAAAAATATCCTTGGGTATTGCAGTCGGGGTCCTTCTAGCAAGTAATAATGTTTGATGAAAGTTGGCAGATATTTCAGCCATAGTATAGATTAGACTAGAAAATACCACATAAAAGCTGGGAATTTAATCACACAGAAATGTGAATATAAAGAAATGCAGTGCAAAAAAAACCCCTAAAAATAAAAGCATGCAAGTCCCAGAACCAAATGCCTATTGATCAAAAGAAACTGTTCTGACATCTATAATTGTCTTTTAAAACACTACAATAAAACCACATTTTTTTCTAACAGATATAGAAAGTGCAAATAGAGAGAAGCAGACTAAACACTAAGAATCAAAGCTACCTTGTCACTGATGCTTACTGCATGCAATGTTATCCAAGTGGGGATTTAACACACAGTTCTAGCTAGGATATTCTTGATGCTATGTGACCTCTAGTTTCTGCTGCTATTAGATGGTATATCAAATTCTGACACACACATATAATCTTCTTACAGCCACATGAAAGAACAGATATTCTTTGCAGGAGAAAATAATTAACATGGCTATAGTAAAATAACAGACAAGTTCTATTTTTCTAATATTTCCTGAGAGTACGAAGTTGTCCTCATCCAAACATAAAAGCAAAAAGGTAGTTGTCACTTCGATGTGATGTAGAAAACTCTTACCAACCCAGGATTGCACTGGTATGTTTCTACATTCTTCAACTTTTCACCATATCAGAAATTGCTATGAAATACTCCAGCTATGTAATTTTGATGGTCAAACTTTCAATAATATACATTATTTTTTTCTTCAAATGCATTTGTTTTCAAAACAACTTCATCATTTCCTCATTTTGCTTCCTCCCTCTCCCCATGGACACTGCTCATCATTCAGCTTACTATTGGAAAGGCAATACTAGACTGCCCAGACACAAAGTTAGGTTGTACTAATTCTTCGTTCTTTGAGCTGCTGGAAGAAAGCTCACTAGGGTATGTATAAAGCATTCCTGTCACAGGCTAGCAAAGCTTCATTTAGTCCCTGAAGCACTATAGCAAAGTAGTGGCTTGAACCTTGAAAGTTAAGTGCAATCACTGGATAGAAGCATGACCAGCACAATATGGAACTTGGAAGCTGGAGAAGGGCAGGTATCATAAACCATACTCACCTCTAACGTCTGCATTAGTGTGGGTTTAATTGCGTCTTTCATCAGAACTGCCAAAGCACCTGTTACTCCCTAAAAAACAAGAGAGTCCACATTTAAAGAAGTCATTTCTAAGGTGCAACATTCCTGAGTTACATATAAGCTTACAGATAAAACAGGGAAGAAAACATTACAGTTCAAAGGAGAAAAAGAAACTTTGCTCACAGACCATAATGGATAACTATAGTGTTGCACAAAGAATTTATTTAGATGTTACCTCAAGACTTCTAACATACTCTGTTTATTCTTCCTACTTCATGGACAGACCAGAAACAGAATTATTAAATGATTAGCATGAGGATGTTCATGGGAATACAAGATGAAGCAGAAGCAAAGGCCACTGAGACCTAAGAAAGCAAGAAGGCAATAACTTGCTAAAACTGCCTAAAGAAATGACAGATGTATTTCTTTCATGACAGAATCAATATCATGAATCATTAGCTAGCAACAACCAGACAGAGTAGTTTTCAAGACTTGTACAAATATATACATAATAGACACAAGATGAAAGCAGACACAGAGTTGACTAGGGGTAGATAATGAATACATCACAAGATTAAAAGTTAGAGGTGCCTTACTGTGATAATGAAAGGAAAATAGGAGCCAAGCAAATTGTTGCATTACTTCCCCCTAAAAATTTTGCTTGACATTAAGTATAAATTTCATACTGACTGAATTTAAAGTCAAGTCCCTCTACACCAAAACTCAATGTCAATTTTAGGAAAAAATGTCTACAGAGTGGCATCACTGGGCACATATAGACATCACTTTGTAGACACATCACTAGCAGTCTATATGTAGGGTGTTATCTAGAAACCACAAACATATATTCCAGTTTATTTGTAAATTACTTTGATTTTGAGAAGATGTGTTTTGTTTTGAAATAACTAGATCATGAACATAAAACGAATGCAGTAGTGTTATAAGAAGTGTCTCACAGATTTGCCAGGACACAAAAAGTGAATTTAATACACTGTTGTATTGAAAAGAATATTAGACCCAAATAAAAGTACTATCTGTTGCAAACAGTTTAAAATGAAGATTGAAAAACATAGCTACATTATCTGAGTAGCTTATTAAGAGCTAAACAGTAACTTTCAAATAAAGAAGAGCCATGAAAAAGGTGCCTGTATAATTCTCAACGTGGCACCTGCCATCTAACCCCAAATATGAACAATCAAACTCTGTGTGAAAATACTAATGACAGACAGATAAGAGACATAAAAGTACACAGTGACTACATAAGTACAGTATTTTATACAAATTCTAGTTTCCCCTTTCTAAGCATCACATCTGAACACAGACTTCAGAATAAAATGAAGCAGAATATTTGGCCTCAGATAAAAATGAAACTAATGTATTTATTCCCTAAATACAAGGAAAAGGAAAAATGTGTTAAAAAGGGAAATAAAATAATTGATGCTTTTCAGTCCCACAGGCTCCTTAATAGCTACAGATTGTTTTAATTGGTAAGATTATAAACTACTTATTTTAGATTAAGAATTTAAAGATGTAGGACAAATCTCAACAATGTTTCATAACAGTTCATTTAGCCAGTATTCCAAAAAAGTTTCTGCTGCTGGAATAAAATGTAACTTCAATATTTTATCTATGAATGAGTTTTCTTTTTAAGAGCATGCAAAAATAACTGCCGCTGCTATTGCCCTTGATTTTCTGTATTTCAGTAATTTGTAAAAGTCTTTCTAAAGTGGGCATATTTCATAGGATTTTAAATTTTAAATCTATTCAATAGAACAATTTGTTTTATAAAACCCGTTTCATTAATTTCCAGATTTAAAGCACTTACAAAACAGAATAGTTAAATAGAACAATCTCAGCTTGCAACAAATTTAAATCCTAGCAATTTATCCATTAAAAGCTCGGTTTTGATCCTATTAATTTATATAAAAAGATTAAAATATTCTTTTTCCTATTGATCACAGTGCAGAATTTTAATTCATGAAAAAAGAGAAAAAACCCACAGTATGCAATATACTTATTGAAAACACCCATAAGCCTTTTCTTTTCTTGCTGTTTGATTGACTCAGCAGCCGAGACAGAATTTCTCAGATCAGAAACACCCTTCTTCTGCTCCCACCCCCCAGCTGAAGGAAATAATGCTCATCACTAGTTGATAGCAACACAAAACATAACAGCTAGTTAAATTGTTCAACTTCTGTCTCATGGAAAGCAGAACCTTGTACACGCAATAGCCAGGAGGTTACAGGTAACAGAAATATCTGAAGGAAAAAGTTAGTTAATTTTACATTTTCTTCCTGTATCTTAGTTTTTCCATCATCATATAGCAAAAACTATTCATCGTTATGGTAAAAAAGAAATAGCTGCTGATCATTTTTGGTGCATGAACACTGAGATAGTTTACAGTCTCACCATGTGAAAAACCATTGTAATAGCTATTCAACTTTCTGGAGAAAAACAGTCAAATGGAAAACTATATCAGATCTTCCAACTGGTCAGTGATGAGGTTAACCACCTGAACAGCCATGGATCAGTCTTAATGCCCTACTTGGGAAAACTGCCTAAGGACTGACAAGTCTTAACTCATGCCAACTGTAGCCATCCACGTTCGGGGGTTACTCTTTTCTACTTCACACTGGACTAGACCACCAGCTCACTTAAAGTGAGCGTGGAAACAGCTACGTGCTGACCCAAGCCATGCTGACTGGAAAAAGGACTCCGGGGAAGAAGTGAAAACTAAAATAAAATCAGGACACTCCCCCCACAGCTAATAATGGCTCAAATCCCATCTCCTTTGCTTTCTGATAGTTCTTCACTAATCTGAAAAAAAAAAAATAGGTAAAAAACCCAAATACTTCCAATGTGTTTCAACATTTTTGGGAAATTTCATCCACATTAGATATATACCTGGATACAACTCATTGTATCTGAAGCTGAAAGCAAAGAAATAAGATGGAAACACTCCAATTAGCACATTCATGTCTATCTACCTTTCATAGTTCTTAAACAGGTTTGGTGTCAACAACAGTCCTTAAAAGCTAAACAGACAATAAATTTTTCATATCTATCTGACATGATGCCGTCAGAATAAAGTTTTCACTCCTTCATATCCCCAGTCCTCCAAGAAGCTAGTAAACAATTCCCACAGCTCACTAAAAGCCCTGGATCTGATTCTCAAAGCTATTTAAGGCATCAGCTTTCCATCTCCAATTCAGAGAAGGTAGATAAATTTTTTTAAACTGAGTCAGAGGCTTAGACAGTTTCACACCAATTAAGCATACGAGAGCCCAAGAATCATTAGCTTTCCAACAACTCACTGTCACAAGAAAGAAGAAGGACTCCAAATCAAATGTATACAGACAACCAACTCTCCTGGGTTCCCTCCTGGAACTGATTCCAAGTACTTCTGAAAATAATACCTGTTCCATCTATCCACCAGCTGTCAGGGCAGGTACACTCCCCAGGACACCAAGATCATAGAGCACAAAATAAATTACACAGAAAAGGCAAACTTGAAAAAAAAATGAAATACTTTCAAAGCAACTTCCAGTGGAGCAGTTTCTGAAATCTATCAAGAGTGTAAATGAAAGCCAGCATTAGATGACAAGGAAGGTGATTGAGAGTAACTACTGTGAGATGAATAAGGGTTACACAGACTGAAGGGCAGAGAAAACCCCTTTTCTTTCTAAGAAAAATAATGAAGTACTTGTAACTTCCCTTCGTTTGAAACTATAGTCTCTAACAAAACGATAATATTTTTCTGCAATATCAGTTCTAAACCTAAACCCTAACTGTAAGCTTAGAAGAACTGCAACTACTTTTGTTTAAAGTGAAGCATGCACACAATGTTTCTGGTGAACCAGAGAACAAAATATATTCATTCAGCTGATAGATCATTTATAAAAGTAAATACGAAGCTATTTTCTTTTGGTCCTGGAATTACTGAAATCTAACAGTATGGTACAGAAAGTAAGCTGAAAAGAAGTCTTATTTAAAAAACCAGTGATATACTTACTCAATATTTTTCATAGCCGCTGAAATACTGATCTAGGGCATACATACCCATTTAGTTTCACATAAAAATGTGTCCATCAGAATTCTACTACACTGTAAAAGCCAAAAAGCAATTCAGTCTTCAAAACACCATACAATGAGCACCACATTTTGGCAAAGACTTCTGTATGTTCCATTACAGAAGACAGATATTTAATCCATTATTTTTGTAGAAGGAGACTTCTCAATTCATGAAATGTTCCATTTATGTTTTTTCTATTACTACTATCCTGCCTCTGCATCTGGTTTATATCTGCTAATGTGTATTTTAGGTTTTTACTATTTTATCATTATAAATATATTGCATATAAAGTCAAAATTAAGAGCAATTGTGTTTTTGTGAAGTATACTGGGTGTACATCTGGAAACAAATCACAGAGAAGGGTTTAGTGGTTTTGGTTCACATAGGTTCCAATGAACTAAAGATTAATGTCAAACATTTAACTTGCATAAATTCAGTCCAGATAGTATATATAAAACATAAACTCCAGATTTCTTTTTTAAGTGACAGGTAGGACTGACCATCACACATTGTTCAAGTTGTGTGCTACTTCCCATGATAAAGGTTTAAGATTTGTTAGAACTACTTGCAATTGCAGTTCTTTGGACTAAAATATTCCATGTCAAGTGGCTATGACAGATTCAAGCTTTTAAACTTGATTTTGTTTTATGAAAATTTAAGTCAAAATGCTTGAACTGTTCTTGGACTGAGAGCATTTGAAAATGTTGAATATTGGGTTTCCTATGTTCAGTTGACTTGAGGTCTTTCCTTTCTGAACTATAAAGCTTTTCTCTTCTTTGACTCTGACTCAAAAAAGGATGAAAATTTGGGAGAAGAGTGGCTTCACATAAAATCTCTTACCACATCTGAAGATTTGCCTGAGATACAAACAATGGGAGAACAAAATTGCAGCTCACAGATACTCCTTAGTGATTGCTTAGCCTTGCCTCATCCTCCCTGAATAGAAAGCTTTAGCCTCAATGTGCCATATACTTACAGTCTAGGGTGTAATACTGTTTCTACAGTCTGCACCAGGCTGGGCCAGCTCTGGTTTGGACATCTGGACCACAAAAAAAGATCTTTTCTGGATCCTAGAGGAATTCTTTTCTAATGTATGCAAGGAAGAGGTACAAGCTGTGCAGTCCAAATGAAGAGGGGTAAAAGTGGGGCTTGCAGAAGAATAGTAACAACACAGCACAAG